CATCAGAAATAATATCAACAGGTAAAGTGACTTGAATGGGAGAATTATCAGATGGATATGAATAATACAGTAAGATATCAAAACGCATTTGTGCATCTGTTAGCTGCATTAGCCCCATTCAAAAGTCCACAGCGACTAAACTAGACTGGTCCAAAAACATATACTCCCCTCAGACAGCATCTGGGACCAAGCTTTGGACCAAGAACCACTTTTGGACCATCCTGTAAAGACATTTTTGAAAGGAAAGTAGACACCATACAAAAGCATTGGGTCATTCTCTTTCCGGGTACACCCCCACAGGAGGGGAGTGAGATTGCAGCCTGTCAGGTGCTCATGGACCTTCTGCACTGGTTTGAACACAGAAGAATAATTTCTGCGGAGGGTTAGGGTAAGTTTTGTTGCTTGAATGTAGTTTGTGTTTATTTTACTAGTTTTAAGATAATAATTCTTCATAACATTAGAGGAAAAAGTCTGAGCAGTGAGTTTTAACCCTTGTATTATGTTAAGGGTCAATTTGACCCATTTCAGTTTTTGTGTTGATCAAAGTACTGGTTATCCTTTCTTTTTCTTGCTGAAATTTGGTGACTTTTCCTCATCTAGGGTCATGAACAGGTGTGTAAAATCTGGACACTTTGATGTGTAGTGGAATATCTGTGCAGAGTTTGTATACAAAGATGATGTTGCGGGTCATTTTGACCCAGACGCTTTAATGTGGGTAAATAGTTGTTCGGATCCAAAAAAACATGTCTCTTTGACATTGTATTTTGATGTGAAGAGAGGGAACTTTTTCACACTTTTCCTTGTCACTGTTCTCATGTCATCTCTTTTGCTTAGCGTACATCGGACTGGCAACTGATTATATCTGTCGCCTTTGAGTTCCTCCGCGCACACATCGACAATGTGGCGAAAACGGGCATCTCCTAGTAGCAGGCCAGTCTCGGGAATAACAGCGCATACATTGACAGCAACTGGCCTCAACTACAGTGTGTTTTCTGACATAAACTGTAGAGGGCGCAATACACGCAATACACAAATGTTGTTGGAGCGCGCACATCGGGTGATATCTCCGGATCTGAGTAAAACTAGTTGCCGAAAAGTAGAACACGGGCAACTGACTGAATCCGGAGATCGACTGTTTATCTCCAGTTGTAAGAGCGCGCACATCGACCGATTTCAGCAACTGATCATCTCCATCATCTACTCTCAGTCGCCAAAAGCCGCCTTGCAACTAGTTGTCTCCAGTTACTCTGTCGATGTACGCTAGGCTTTAGACAAACTCACCAAAAATGAGCTCCAGAAGGATGACATCTGAGGAGGCTTTATCACAGATTTTTAACTGGGATAATGATGTAGAGGAAGAGATTTCAGAAACAGAGGATTTTTCAGAGACAGAGGACAACGTTATTGCTGTTCCAGATTGTCAATTTTCCTACGATAAGGAGGTTTCAGAGGACGAATCTTTGATCAAAGAAGAGGAAGGGAGGAAGAAAGGAAGGTAGGAAGGAAAGAAGGGAGACAGGAAGGAAGGAAGAGAAAAGAAGGGAATAGATGAGGATGAACAGAGAGAAGGAAAACAGGATGAGAAAAAGGAAGGAGAAAGCATGGCAGGAGGAAAGAAGGAGGGAAGAATTGTCATTTTGACCCGAGAGGAGGACAAGAAGATTAGACTAAATAATTCTTAAATATAGCGTTGGACTTAAAAATGTATTGTATGTCACTTTTCTAAATATTTATATAACCTAAAATAAAGTTGTTATTGGTTTAACCTGTTTTCTTGACTGTTTTGAGTGCATTTACACAGTACGGGTCAAAATGACCCGCAACATAATCAATGTCATTTTTTCCAACATAATACAAGGGTTAAGCTTGTTTTAAGTATTTTTTCTTATTTCCAGACTTTTCTTGTTTAGATAAAATAAGTTTGTGATGCTGTATTTTCAGAAAACATTTCTCAAAAATATTTAAGACATAAATAAAAAGTAATTGAAATGTATGTTTTTAAACTTGAATCAAGTCGTTTGGGGCAAGTTTTATCTTATTATTTTCAGAAATCTTGTTAAATCATATTTTCTTGTTTTATTTTCAGATCATTTTTATTATTTTAAGCAGTATTTTACTTATTTTCATGTATTTAAGGGATTTTTTCTAGTGTGGGGATGTTATCTGCACGATAACAAAATGTTTATCACGCAGCTCTGACAAAGTGAATTCTTGTCTTGGACCAAAATAGCAAAACAAACAATGTTTTCATTACGACGGAGAAAAGTGTGTCCTCGATAAAAACACCACAAAACCACACAATACAACAACAAAGCTGTGTTTAGGAACAACCAGTGCATTTTCTATCTTGGTGAGATGTGGGATTCCAATGATTCCTGATTTAACAAAAACTCAGTCAAGGTTTAGGATACGGGGATTGGCATCAGTCAACCACCAAGCCTCGGTGATCCCATCCTGGTCGTACCACACCACAGTACAAATTACATTCCGTACTAAAGCCTGTAAATTGACTCTGTTAACAGGTGGGAGAGGTTACCTTCTTTTGCAGATTGAAACGACGTATGTAATGAGCCCGAGTGAGTCGTTAGCATTTAGCCTAGCTTTAGCCATTTCCTTTGCCGCTAACGGAGCCCGTGGGGAGTAGCGCCACAATCTTTGCAGCGATTACATTTGCTAAACATTCCTCTTTCTCCGGCTTCAGTTTCTTGATAGAACCAGAACAGATTACTTTACTATCGCATTCATCGCCAAACTACATCCTGCTCGTTCGCCGCAAACTCTTGACGTCACCCACATCTAACTACAACACCCGCCTCCCGCGCTCTCTGATTGGTCGGAAGGATTTCAACCGATTATAATCGCAAACACAGAGACCAGACCCAGACGTTACATGCAGTGAAATGATGATTGATCAGAATGTACGGATGGATAAGACCAGGATAGGGTGATCCAAGATGGCCGCCTGTTCAAATCAGTGGCTTTTGCTCAGTGGATACACAGGGACTGAAAGATTCAATATTTAAGAAAATAAGCTCAGGATGACAAAGGACACTAAAATCCCCACAAAACCCAACCTGTATGAAAGCTGTAGGTTCTCTGTCAGGTTCTCTGTCAGGTTCTGTTAGCTGAGGTCGAGCTGTTTTAGTTTCCATTGAGTTTTATGAGGACCATTTCTGGGTGATGTGAATTCAGTCTTGTTTAGTCTGACAAACTGGGTTACTTTGTCCCGTTTTAAATGCCATTTTGTTATCATTGTAATTTATACCTGAAAAGAGGGAGTTCCCTTGTCAGCCATTTTGTCTTCTGTGGGCGGAGCCATCTCATTTTACACCCAAGACAGGACTGTTTGCTTTTAAAAATAACTCTTTTGATTTAACAACTTTTAATACAAGTTCTGCCGCCCTGACACTCGGGCCAGCTTCCCCACATGGCTCCTCCAGCTCGTAGCTAGTAACACCTTATCCAGAGAAAACAGATAGAAAACACACACATGCAGTAAAACACAGACCTCCTGCTGGATCTCTACAGCAGCCATTCTGCGCCACATACTGAGTAATTACACGGCTGACACGGCGTGCATCCTTGATCACCATTAAATTATGGGGTTTGTGAAGTTGAGAAATTGACTGGGCTGAGCTTGGAGCCAGCGGAATCCTTGTGGCAATTTACAGGCACTCGAAAAACGGGATCAATCCTCTTTCATTTGTCTCTCGTACTGGAACTAAATGCATATTTTGAGCTGGAACTGGCACACGGGGAAGTTGGGCTGGAAGAGGCGCAGCAGGCTCTAATAAGCTTCTGTTTGGAGGGAGACATTAATGATTGTCTTCAGGATGATTAAAAAAACACATGATGGCGATGTCCCAGAACTCCATTTGACAGAAATATAAATGCGGCTTTAATTATTATTGTTATTATTATTATTGCACAACCTGAAGTGAGGGTTTGACTTGAAAATAATCTAATAATAATCTAATCTCTGGTCTCTCTCTGGTCTCTCTCTGGTCTCTCTCTCTGGTCTCTCTCTCTGGTCTCTCTCTCTGGTCTCTCTCTGGTCTCTCTCTGGTCTCTCTCTCTGGTCTCTCTCTGGTCTCTCTCTCTGGTCTCTCTCTGGTCTCTCTCTCTGGTCTCTCTCTGGTCTCTCTCTGGTCTCTCTCTGGTCTCTCTCTCTGGTCTCTCTCTGGTCTCTCTCTGGTCTCTCTCTCTGGTCCCTCTCTGGTCTCTCTCTCTGGTCTCTCTCTCTGGTCTCTCTCTCTGGTCTCTCTCGCTGGTCTCTCTCTCTGGTCTCTCTCTGGTCTCTCTCTGGTCTCTCTCTCTGGTCTCTCTCTGGTCTCTCTCTGGTCTCTCTCTGGTCTCTCTCTGGTCTCTCTCTGGTCTCTCTCTCTGGTCTCTCTCTGGTCTCTCTCTCTGGTCTCTCTCTGGTCTCTCTCTGGTCTCTCTCTGGTCTCTCTCTGGTCTCTCTCTGGTCTCTCTCTGGTCTCTCTCTGGTCTCTCTCTGGTATCTGGTCTCTCTCTCTGGTCTCTCTCTGGTCTCTCTCTCTGGTGTCTCTCTGGTCTCTCTCTGGTCTCTTTCTCTGGTCTCTCTCTCTGGTCTCTCTCTCTGGTCTCTCTCTCTGGTCTCTCTCTGGTCTCTCTCTGGTCTCTCTCTGGTGTCTCTCTCTGGTCTCTCTCTCTGGTCTCTCTCTCTGGTCTCTCTCTGGTCTCTTTCTCTGGTCTCTCTCTGGTCTCTCTCTCTGGTGTCTCTCTGGTCTCTCTCTGGTCTCTTTCTCTGGTCTCTCTCTCTGGTCTCTCTCTCTGGTCTCTCTCTGGTCTCTCTCTGGTCTCTCTCTGTTCTCTCTCTGTTCTCTCTCTGGTCTCTCTCTGGTCTCTCTCTGGTCTCTCTCTGGTCTCTCTCTGGTCTCTCTCTGGTCTCTCTCTGGTCTCTCTCTGGTCTCTCTCTGGTCTCTCTAAAGAATAATCCTTGTTGACATCAGACCCACAGCCTCCTCTTGAGACATCACATGGGTCATTCATAAATAATCAAAGTACGTTAAAAAACAATTGTAACAGAAAGAGACCTGTTTTTAACCTGGATTTAAACTTTGTCAGAGAAGAGGCCTGTCTCACATTTTCAGGAAGACTGCTCCAGATTTTAGCATGAATCTGAAATGCAGCCTCCACATGTTTAGTCCTGACTCTGAGACCAGCAGGAGACCAGTCCCTGTGCTCCTCAGAGTCCCAGCAGGAGGTCAGTCCCTGTGCTCCTCAGAGTCCCAGAGGCCAGTCCCTGTGCTCCTCAGAGTCCCAGCAGGAGGTCAGTCCCTGTGCTCAGAGTCCCAGAGGCCAGTCCCTGTGCTCCTTGGAACACAGGTGTTTCGTCCATAAACCCACTTACAGACTGAGTGTGCTGTGGAGGCACAGATCTATAATAACATCTGGATAGAGTATTACGAGCGTATATCTGTTCCATCCATGGCCACAGGGGGCGCCGTGATACTGTGTCCCATAGAGCTCAATGTAAACTAAAGCAGTTCGACCTCAGCTGACAGAGAACCTGACAGAGAACCTGACAGAGAACCTGACAGAGAACCTGACAGAGAACCTGACAGAGAACCTAACAGAGAACCTGACAGAGAACCTAACAGAGAACCTGACAGAGAACCTGACAGAGAACCTGACAGAGAACCTGACAGAGAACCTGACAGAGAACCTGACAGAGAACCTGACAGAGAACCTGACAGAGAACCTGACAAAGAACCTGACAGAGAACCTGACAGAGAACCTGACAGAGAACCTGACAGAGAACCTGACAGAGAACCTGACAGAGAACCTGACAGAGAACCTGACAGAGAACCTGACAGAGAACCTGACAAAGAACCTGACAGAGAACCTGACAAAGAACCTGACAGAGAACCTGACAGAGAACCTGACAAAGAACCTGACAGAGAACCTGACAGAGAACCTAACAGAGAACCTAACAGAGAACCTAACAGAGAACCTGACAGAGAACCTGACAGAGAACCTGACAAAGAACCTGACAGAGAACCTGACAAAGAACCTGACAGAGAACCTGACAGAGAACCTGACAGAGAACCTAACAGAGAACCTGACAGAGAACCTAACAGAGAACCTGACAGAGAACCTAACAGAGAACCTGACAGAGAACCTGACAGAGAACCTACAGCTTTCATAAAGGTCAGATTTTGTGTGGATTTTAGTGTCCCTTCTGTCGTCCTGAACTTTATTCATGTTGAATCCTTCTGTTTTTTATAAATCCACACTTTACTGCCACAAACTCTGCTCGTTTCCTTCCCGCTCTGACTCCGCCCTGCTGCTGCTCTGATGAACAGCTCTGATTGGTCAAAGCGCGGCCGAGCCCCTCTGTGCACGTGCATGAGAGCCACACACTTGTATTTGGCCCAAAGCATTATGGGAGCTCATCCACTGCACAGAACCAGGAGGACCAGACGATGCCCAAATATGGACGAGTTCCACTAATCTCTCGGCCCCTGTGTATGTCCCATGAGCCACTGGGCACAAAGCAGCCAAAGGACGCCATCTTGGATCCCCGTGGCTGGTGTGGATGCGCGCTCTCGTTCCGTTCCCTAAAGACTCCTAAAGGATTCTTCCACTTATGGAAGAAGTAAGGTAGTAGTAATATTTATTTATATAGCGCCTTCACAGACCAGAGTCAAAGCGGTTTACAATTGTGGGCATTATAGTCTCTGACTCCACACAGAGATGGGAGCGGGGCCAGTACAGGAGTTTTTAGTGGTAGGGGAAACTTGAGCACCCGGAGGAAACCTACGCAGACACAAAGCAGACACTCAGAAAGGTCCTGTTCCGACCGGGAAGTTTGTGTAGAAGTTCCACCTCCTCCTTTCACCAGGAACTCCTGCGGTGGTGACTTGGGTTTCCATGTAATCAAACCAGTATCAGCTTTTCTTCAAACTGACGTGAACTCTCTGGTCTCTATCTGGTCTCTCTCTGGTCTCTCTTTTGTCTCTCTTTTGTCTCTCTTTTGTCTCTCTCTGTTCTCTCTCTGGTCTCTCTCTGGTCTCTCTCTGTTCTCTCTCTGTTCTCTCTCTGTTCTCTCTCTGTTCTCTCTCTGTTCTCTCTCTGATCTCTCTCTGGTCTCTCTCTCTGGTCTCTCTCTCTGGTCTCTCTCTCTGGTCTCTCTCTGGTCTCTCTCTGGTCTCTCTCTGGTCTCTCTCTGTTCTCTCTCTGTTCTCTCTCTGTTCTCTCTCTGTTCTCTCTCTGTTCTCTCTCTGTTCTCTCTCTGGTCTCTCTCTCTGGTCTCTCTCTCTGGTCTCTCTCTCTGGTCTCTCTCTGGTCTCTCTCCGGTCTCTCTCTGGTCTCTCTCCGGTCTCTCTCTGGTCTCTCTCTGGTCTCTCTTTCATAGATCCTTTCCCCAGTGCATACGGACCTTAATCTCTCCTGTCGGGCTAATAATTGATGCTTCGACAAACAAAATAAGCAAACCAAAATAATGACACTGAGAAGCAGTGTTGCCAACTTAGCGACTTTGTCGCTAGATTTAGCGACTTTTCAGACCCCTATAGCGACTTTTTTTCAAAAAAGCGACTAGCGACAAATCTAGCGACTTTTTCTGGTGTTATTGGCGACTTATCTGGTGTTTTGGCGACTTATCTGGTGTTTTGGAGACTCGTGAAGCACGTATTGTTCTGCTGTCCTCAACGTGAGCCCCTCCCCCGTCCCAAAGCACTTACAGGCGGCCAGTCTCACAGTAGCCTTGCGCAGCAGTCCCAGCTACAGTCTATGGGCGGAGCAGAGAGAGAGGAGACTCAAAAGCACAGGAAGTTTTCAGGCTGCTGCAGACTGAACTTCAGCTCCACCACCACCACACATCCAAAGCTCCCCGGCCACTCCTACCACCGCCACCCCCCACTACCCCCCACTCCATCCGCGGCAGCTCTGTCCGTGACTCTGTTTTCTCTCAGTAGTGGGTCACATTAAATCATTTGTTATGCCAAACTATGAAAAAAAAAAAAAACTTACAAAAATAAACCAAAGTAACTCTGCCAGAGTGTGTCTTTTGGGTCACTTTGCCGGTCCCAAGCCCGGATAAAGGAGGAGGGTTGGTTGTAGAGCTAGCAATTTCACCCTACATAACAATCTTTTGATTACATTTGCTGTTATAACATTTAACAATACAGGACAAAACTGATGTGTGTAATGTGGATCTAGACAAAGCATTAAAATCATTAAATGTTGTTAATGTTGAAATTATTTTTGTACATTTGTAGTTCTAAACATATTTAGGGTGTTTTTACTCACTTTTGTCTCTCCCACGACCTTATTCCTCTCTCCTACAGCGTCCGTTACAGTTATTTGCAAATGGCAAATTATGCAAATTAGGCGATGACGTCATTTAGCGACTTCTAGCGACTTTTGGGACAGCCAATAGCTACTTTCCTTACTGAGGAGTTGGCAACACTGCTGAGAAGCTGCAAAGCCACCGGTTACCTGGCACCCGGCCGCTCACTACAGCAGCCCCGAGGGTCAGGCCACTATTGTGCGGACTGTGATTTCGAGCGTGTCCAGTGTTTGTCATCCAGCCGCCCTGACCACTGATAACAGCCTCTTCTTTTTGACTGAAAGCAATAAAACATGGTCTAAATCCATCAATCCTCTGGGCTTATCGGGGGCACAGTGGCACTGGAGTTTGTGTAAGTTATTGGGGAAAAACAACCCCAAAATGGTTGAAAATGGGTCTGAGGAAGAAGAAAAAGGCTTAAGCATAGACACATAACGGTTTAGTCTGGAGACGGCTCAACAATCAGGAATTACACGGAAAAACTAACGTTTGTATGATTTATTTACTAAAAATACTTACTAGTTTTAATATTCTTTATGATCTAAGTCTGAGCAGTGAGACAAATTTTATTGGTAGATGAAAGGACCATCTCTCTGGTCTCTCTCTGGTCTCTCTTGCTGGTCTCTCTCTCTGGTCTCTCTCTCTGGTCTCTCTCTCTGGTTTCTCTCTCTGGCCTCTCTCTCTGGTCTCACTCTCTGGTCTCACTCTCTGGTCTCTCTCTCTGGTCTCTCTCTCTGGCCTCTCTCTCTGGCCTCTCTCTCTGGTCTCACTCTCTGGTCTCTCTCTCTGGTCTCTCTCTCTGGTCTCTCTCTCTGGTCTCTCTCTCTGGTCTCTCTCTCTGGTCTCTCTCTCTGGTCTCTCTCTCTGGTCTCTCTCTGGTCTCTCTCTGGTCTCTCTTGCTGGTCTCTCTCTCTGGTCTCTCTCTCTGGTCTCTCTCTCTGGTTTCTCTCTCTGGCCTCTCTCTCTGGCCTCTCTCTCTGGTCTCACTCTCTGGTCTCTCTCTCTGGTCTCTCTCTCTGGTCTCTCTCTCTGGTCTCTCTCTCTGGTCTCTCTCTCTGGTCTCTCTCGCTGGTCTCACTCTCTGGTCTCACTCTCTGGTCTCTCTAGTCTCTCTCTAGTCTCTCTCTCAGGTTTCTCTCTGGTCTCTCTCTCTGGTCTCTCTCTCTGGTTTCTCTCTGGTCTCTCTCTCTGGTCTCTCTCTCTGGTCGCTCTCTCTGGTCTCTCTCTCTGGTCTCTCTCTCTGGTCGCTCTCTCTGGTCTCTCTCTGGTTTCTCTCTGGTTTCTCTCTGGTCTCTCTGGTCTCTCTCTCTGGTCTCTCTCTCTGGTTTCTCTCTCTGGCCTCTCTCTCTGGTCTCACTCTCTGGTCTCTCTCTCTGGTCTCTCTCTCTGGCCTCTCTCTCTGGCCTCTCTCTCTGGTCTCTCTCTCTGGTCTCTCTCTCTGGTCTCTCTCTCTGGTCTCTCTCTCTGGTCTCTCTCTCTGGTCTCTCTCTCTCTGGTCTCTCTCTCTGGTCTCTCTCGCTGGTCTCACTCTCTGGTCTCACTCTCTGGTCTCTCTCTCTGGTCTCTCTCTCTGGTCTCTCTCTCTGGTCTCTCTCTCTGGTCTCTCTAGTCTCTCTCTAGTCTCTCTCTCAGGTTTCTCTCTGGTCTCTCTCTCTGGTCTCTCTCTCTGGTTTCTCTCTGGTCTCTCTCTCTGGTCTCTCTCTCTGGTCGCTCTCTCTGGTCTCTCTCTCTGGTCTCTCTCTCTGGTCGCTCTCTCTGGTCTCTCTCTGGTTTCTCTCTGGTCTCTCTCTGGTCGCTCTCTCTGGTCTCTCTCTCTGGTCTCTCTCGGAACTGTTGGAGGCCGAGACCCGAGCAGCCACTCAGCCACATATTGCACAGTGGCTGAGTGGTTAGCACTCTCGCTTCTCAGAAAGAGGGTCCTGGGTTCGAATCCCGGTCGGAACAGAGCCTTTCTGAGTGGAGTTTGCATGTTCTCCTCGGGTCTGCGTAGGGTTCCTCTGGGTACTCCGGTTTCCCCTACCACTAAAAACATGTACAATAGGTCTGTGGCTCCTGTACTGGCCCCGCTCCCATCTGTGTGTGGAGTGAGAGACTAATGCTTTAACAATTATGAACTGCTTTGACTCTGGTCTGTGAAAGGCGCTATATGAATAAACATTACTTACTACTACTAGGGCTGGGCGATATGGCTGAAAACTATATCACAATATAAGTAATTCATATCGGTCGATAACGATATATATTAATTTTATTATTTTTTTTTTTTTTACGTAAATAAATACATTTGTCGTGTCGGCTAACACATGTTAGCAGCCTTGTTTACAGTCACGGGGAATGAGGCTGGAGCCAAATCCCCCACTTTAGTCCTGGTTTAGTCCTGGTTTAGTCCTGGTTTAGTCCTGGTTTAGTCCTGGTTTAGTCCTGGTTTAGTCCTGGTTTAGTCCTGGTTTAATCCTGGTTTAATCCTGGTTTAATCCTGGTTTAGTCCTGGTTTAGTCCTGGTTTAGTCCTGGTTTAATCCTGGTTTAGTCCTGGTTTAGTCCTGGTTTAGTCCTGGTTTAGTCCTGGTTTAGTCCTGGTTTAATCCTGGTTTAGTCCTGGTTTAGTCCTGGTTTAGTCCTGGTTTAGTCCTGGTTTAGTCCTGGTTTAGTCCTGGTTTAATCCTGGTTTAGTCCTGGTTTAGTCCTGGTTTAATCCTGGTTTAATCCTGGTTTAGTCCTGGTTTAGCTCCCGTTTTGGCTGTTTTCGAGTGTCTTGTGTCCCCGTGGCGGTTCCGGAAAAAGTTAATCTCTTGCTTTTGCCGAATGCTTGGAGTCTGTACCCACTGCCTCCCGCCGCACATGCTGTTCCTCGCACAGACGTGTTTGACCTTTGACACATGCTGTTCCTCGCACAGACGTGTTTGACCTTTGACACGGCCTGAAACATGATCTTTAGATCCATGGCTTTATAATAGATCCATGATCCATGGACGCTACGCACGGTGCGCTTGATGTTTTTACATTTCCCAGAAAATTTTGCGGTTTGTAGTCGGCTGTGATAGGTCGAATAAGCCGGGGGATGCCTTTGCCTACATCTCCCAGAATGCCGCACGATTCTGACTCGGCTTTACTTCCTGTGTTTTGTTCCTGTTTTTTTTTAACGGACTGAAGTGAAACCATGGATCTATGATAATAACTGGATAGGGTGTTACTAGTTTGTAGCTGAATAACTCATGTGCTCGGGGGATTCTCGCGGTACTGCAGACTGAACCAGACTGAACCAGACTAAATTCACGTGGGCTACACAGACATTTTCCCCATAGAACTCAATGCATATTAAAACAGCTCAACCTCAGCTGACAGAGAACCTGACAGAGAACCTACAGCTTTCATAAAGGTCGGATTTTGTGGGGATTTTAGTGTCCCTTGTCATCCTGAACTTTTTTTCTTCTTAAATCCTTCGGTTTTGTTTAAATCCACACTTTAGTGCCACAAACTCTGCTCGTCTGGCTCTCGCTCTAACTCCCGCTCTGATGAACTGCTCTGATTGGTCAGAGCGCGGCCGAGCCCCTCTGTGCACGTGCGTGAGACCCTCTGTGCACGTGCGTGAGACCCGGTGTGAGACCCACACACGCGTGTTTGATGCAAAGCATTATGGGAGATCATCCACTGCACAGAACCGGGAGGACCAGACAACGCCCAAATACAGGCGAGTTTCCCATAGATCTTTGAGAGTTTCTCATAGATCTTTGAGAGTTTCCCATAGATCTTTGAGAGTTTCCCATAGATCTTTGCGAGTTCCAGGCGACTTCCGCTAATCTTTCAGCCCCCATGCCGTCACAAAGCGCCACTGAGCACAACCATTCATTTGAATAGGGCGCCATCTTGGATCGCCGGGGCTTGAGTGAAACTATCGAAGTTCTCTTGACCCCGTTTTCTATTGATATCGAACACGTGTCTATTGCAAAATATATCGTTATCGTTTTATCGCCCAGCCCTAAGTGCTACTACTACATATTTGATCCATTACATATAAACTGTCATTTCAAATATACTTGTAATATACTTCTTTATCCCATAATACTTTTGTTTCCATCCTAGATTTTTGTGTGTGACTGCTTTAAGAAGTAAACATCGTCTCTTTGTTTTGTAGAAAAGGTCGAATGGTTTTGAATTTCTTTATCACATAATGAAAAAAACAGGTGTCACTGTATTTTCTTAAGACCTGAAATCTAGACGCACGTTCCCCCGAGGACCCAGGGCGGGTGATTTCCAAAAGTCACACTATTTACTGTGAGTGCCTGCCCCTTTAAATGAGTTTAAATGAGTTTAAATGAGTTTAAATGAGTTTAAATGAGTTTAAAAGGGTGAAGTCAAGTGGAAATGAATTATAGGCAACTGTTGGAGGCCGAGACCCGAGCAGAAGCATACGGTCTCCCTCTAGTCTCTCTCTGGTCTCTCTCTGGTCTCTCTCTGGTCTCTCTCTGGTCTCTCTCTGGTCTCTCTCTGGTCTCTCTCTGGTCTCTCTCTAGTCTCTCTCTAGTCTCTCTCTGGTCTCTCTCTAGTCTCTCTGGTCTCTCTCTGGTCTCTCTCTAGTCTCTCTGGTCTCTCTCTAGTCTCTCTCTAGTCTCTCTGGTCTCTCTCTAGTCTCTCTCTAGTCTCTCTCTAGTCTCTCTCTCTCTAGTCTCTCTCTCTAGTCTCTCTCTCTAGTCTCTCTCTCTAGTCTCTCTCTCTAGTGTCTCTCTCTAGTCTCTCTCTGGTCTCTCTCTGGTCTCTCTCTCTAGTCTCTCTCTGGTCTCTCTGGTCTCTCTCTAGTCTCTCTCTAGTCTCTCTCTGGTCTCTCTCTAGTCTCTCTGGTCTCTCTCTAGTCTCTCTGGTCTCTCTCTAGTCTCTCTCTGGTCTCTCTAGTCTCTCTCTGGTCTCTCTCTGGTCTCTCTCTGGTCTCTCTCTCTGGTCTCTCAGAAGCATGTGGTGAATCAGCTGATGTAATTGTTGTTGTAAATGTCATAAATCCAGTCATATGTCCTGATAAAACACTCTGGTTAATGTTCAAGCGCCCGGAAGCTGTAAAACTGGACTTATATATATATTTTATATTTCATTTTATAACAAAGCTTAAACGGTCAAAGGGCTGCACGCCGAGGACTGGTTAAAAGTTTATTAAAACACGTTAAAATTATGCATAAAACCTTTTGAACCAAGACTTGAGACCAGAGAGAGACCAGAGAGAGACCAGAGAGCGAGACCAGAGAGAGACCAGAGAGAGACCAGAGAGAGACCAGAGAGCGAGACCAGAGAGAGACCAGAGAGAGAGACCAGAGAGCGAGACCAGAGAGCGACCAGAGAGCGACCAGAGAGAGACCAGAGAGAGACCAGAGAGAGACCAGAGAGAGAGACCAGAGAGAGACCAGAGAGAGACCAGAGAGCGAGACCAGAGAGAGACCAGAGAGAGAGACCAGAGAGCGACCAGAGAGCGACCAGAGAGCGACCAGAGAGAGACCAGAGAGAGACCAGAGAGAGACCAGAGAGAGACCAGAGAGAGACCAGAGAGAGACCAGAGAGAGAGACCAGAGAGAGACTAGAGAGAGACTAGAGAGAGACCAGAGAGAGACCAGAGAGAGACCAGAGAGAGACTAGAGAGAGACCAGAGAGAGAGACCAGAGAGAGACCAGAGAGAGACCAGAGAGAGAGACCAGAGAGAGAGACCAGAGAGAGACCAGAGAGAGAGACTAGAGAGAGAGACTAGAGAGAGACCAGAGAGAGACCAGAGAGAGACCAAAGAGAGACCAGAGAGAGACCAGAGAGAGACTAGAGAGACACCAGAGAGAGACCAGAGAGAGACCAGAGAGAGAGACCAGAGAGAGACTAGAGAGAGACCAGAGAGAGACCAGAGAGAGAGACCAGAGAGAGACCAGAGAGAGACCAGAGAGAGACCAGAGAGAGACCAGAGAGAGACCAGAGAGAGACCAGAGAGAGAGACCAGAGAGAGAGAGAGACCAGAGAGAGAGACCAGAGAGAGAGACCAGAGAGAGACCAGAGAGAGAGACTAGAGAGAGAGACTAGAGAGAGACCAGAGAGAGACCAGAGAGAGACCAAAGAGAGACTAGAGAGAGACTAGAGAGAGACCAGAGAGAGACTAGAGAGAGACTAGAGAGAGACTAGAGAGAGACTAGAGAGAGACCAGAGAGAGACCAGAAAGAGACCAGAGAGAGAGACCAGAGAGAGACTAGAGAGAGACCAGAGAGAGAGACCAGAGAGAGACCAGAGAGAGACCAGAGAGAGACCAGAGAGAGACCAGAAAGAGACCAGAGAGAGACGAGAGACCAGAGAGAGACCAGAAAGAGACAGGAGAGAGACCAGAGAGAGACCAGAGAGAGAGACAAAAGAGAGACAGGAGAGAGACCAGAGAGAGACCAGAGAGAGAGACAAAAGAGAGGCCAGAGAGTGATTCTATCTGTGTTAATGTGACACGTACATTTCTCCCTCAGATCAATAAAGTCTGTCTAATCTTATCTTCACAGAGAAAACACACGTCCTGAACCGGAAGTTATGAATCCAATATTGTATTATGTCTCTGTGCGGCCGGTTCTAATATCAAGGATCCTCCCAGGGCCAAAAGCATCCATTTTCGGGCCGGATCTAGCCCCCGGGCCTACACTATTGGTCCTCTTAACTGTCAATCATTCTGGGGATAGCTGAGGAGGGCGGTTCTTTCCTAAAATTTGGGCCAATCCTCCTTTATATCTGTAACTTCTTCAGTATCGAGCTCCGAGAATAACCAACGACTGTTCTGGCTCCTGGAAAAGCCGTGTTCCAGCTTCTTCCCTCTGGCACTAGATTGTTTATAGTCATTTATTTCTGTACTTTTAACCTACTGTACTTGTCTTGCGCACACTGGGGACTTTTGCACACGTATTCCAATGTTGTTTTACTGCAATTGACCGAAACTGAATGTCTTACAACCTTAACAACAACGTTACAACACTCCATGGATCTTCAAACCAACGCAGACTTCACAAAACACAAAACAAGACAGGTTTTTTAATTCTCCTCTTCCTCTGAGTGACTAACGGCGGATCAGGCCATTGCACTGTCGGGTCTCTTTTGAATCCTGTTTCATTTCTATCCCACCGTCACATTGTCCTCTCTCTCTCTCTGTCTCTCTCTGGCTGTGCTCAGAGAAACATGAGACGCCACAAAGAGCACGTCATGGCCACCACAGCAACGTAAAAGCAGCCGCAGCGACATTACTTTAATATCACCAAACCCGGGCTAAACTTTGCCACACAAAACCCATGCAGCGTGAAAAGTCCTCACCTCAAGCGGCAGCAGATGACACTCAGCGGGCAGCGGAGGCTTTAGGACACATGGTAATAATCCGTCCGAAGGCTGGGGAGCTCTGGGAATCTTCGCAGCTCTTGGTACAAACTTTTGGACGCGGGGTTTGGACGTGCGTAAAGATGAGTTTTGGACGTGCGTAAAGATGAGTTTTGGATGTGCGTAATGGTGCCCGGTTCTGAGTCGGTGGCCGTGTGCGCTCGGTCCCGTGTGGCCGTGGAGACGCAGAGGAAGAAGAAGACTTTCCTACAGTTGTTAGTGTTTCCCAGGACAACTCAGAGGGAGGAGCGAACGGCAGGACGCATGGCAGGACGCAGCTATGGCTTCTGTGGAGAGCCCAGCGCGCGTCCGGGACTACTGCTATGATGAAGTCTGAAAACATTGACGTCCGAATGAGAAAATGTGGATATTTTGGAATAGAAAAGCTCTGCTCATTATAATTCAGTGGTTTTTTTTTAGTTGCTTAAAATCACCCGGACGCAGTGAAACACCTTTTCAGACGTTCTGCATTAAATCCATCTGGTTTTTCTTTATTGTTGTTGTTGTTGTGCTGTGTTCTTTGTAGAAATGTTGCTTCTTTTTCATAACTCGGTGCTCTGTCTGCCGCCCCCTCGACACAGAAACATACAAAGGTAAATTCCAAGTTCATTTCAGAGTAAAGTCTTCATCAGCTGCATTTAACCAGAAAAAAAACGTAATGTATGAATGTCTGTATTACCGTGATTTTCAGGAAGTAACTGTTTTATAAATACTTTAAAGTAGTAACTGTAATGGACTACAGTTACTCAGAGAGAGTAATCTGAGTACCTGATGGGATTACATCAGTTACTCCCGACACTGTTTGTAACTACACTAAGTATGGATTTATCAGCAGGGTTTTATAATGTCTTATTTATCTGAATTATTAACGGCTTTTTAACCTTGGTCTTTTTGCCACGGCTCGGTTTGTCCTGATATTTCTCTGCACAGACCGAGCAAGCGACGTTAGTAAATGTTTTATTATATGACTACTTTTAATTTATGGAAATATCGATCGGTTTCAACTAAAAACATGCTAAAAACCCATGCTTTTTACATATTTGTGACGTTCATGTCCCACTTGGTTTTCCTGATCCTGTTTTTACCTTTCTGGTCTGTAACCAAGTTGTCGATCTCTTCTTGACTGTTGGGAGTTGTGTTTTCGACGTTATTTTCTGTTATTACTTCCTCTGGCTCTTCCAACTCGTCCTGAAAATAGAATTCACTAAGAATGCTCCCAGTCGTAGCTCTTTTACCGAGGAAAGACGTCAAATCTGATACGTGTTGCGGACCGATTGTCATGGTAACGGCCCGAGACGGGAAAATATCAGACCGCAAATCAGCCAATCAGAGCTCACGATCCAAGTCATAAAATAAAATGTCTTCTTTATACTTCTTGCAGATGACTGTTATTCTGTGATTGGAACGTGGGTTCTGTACAATAAACACAACAGTGGGCGAGAGTGGCTCAGTAGAGCATTGGTCTTTGGGCCTGAAGGTCGTGGGTTTGAGCCCAACACAAGACCTACTTCACGACTCTTACTGACAACGTCTGCTGTCGTTGTGTCCTTGGGCAAGACACTTAACCCCACTTTGACTGAAGCCCCTGCTGGAAGATCAAGGCTCCTGAGGACTCACTTCCTGCAGGAGGATTAAGGGGAAGAAAATGGATGGATGGCTTTAATATGGCGTCTTCTTTCCTCTAAAAACCTCTCTACAGGATGGTCCAAAAGTGGCTCTTGGTCCAAATGTGGCTCATGGTCCAAAAGTCGCTGCGGTCGCTGCCTTCGCTGCGACCGCAGGTACATTAAGACGCACAGAGACACAGGTACATATAGACACAGAGACACAGGTACATATGGACACAGAGACACAGGTACATATAGACACACAGAGACACAGGTACATATAGACACAGAGACACAGGTACATATGGACACAGAGACACAGGTACATATGGACACAGAGACACAGGTACATATGGACACAGAGACACAGGTACATATGGACACAGAGACACAGGTACATATAGACACAGAGACACAGGTACATATGGACACAGAGACACAGGTACATATAGACACACAGAGACACAGGTACATATAGACACAGAGACACAGGTACATATAGACACACAGAGACACAGGTACATATAGACACAGAGTGATCTATCTGATAGCTCTGATTTTTTTGAAAAATCACAGTTACGTGATGAAGATTGGGTGGGGATTAGCCTGGTCTTACCGCACCATTGTACTCAGTTCATTTCATACTAAGGTCTGATTTGCTCCATTGACTCCGTTAATAGGTGGGAGGGGCTAACTCCTTTTGCAGATTGAAACCATTGGATCTGAGTTTACTGTGACGTATGTAATGAGCCCGAGTGAGTCGTTAGCATTTAGCCTAGCTGTAGCATGTAGCCTAGCTTTATCAATTAGCCTAGCTTTAGCATGTAGCCTAGCTTTAGCCATCTCCTTTGTCACTAACGGAGCCCGTGGGGAGTAGAGCCACAACATCTTTGCCTCAATGACATTTACTAAACATTCCTCTTGCTCCGGCTTCAGTTTCTTGATATTTGGATTGAACCAGAACAGATTATTTTACTATCGCATTCTCCGACAAACTACAATCAGAAAATTCAGCACAAACTCTTGACGTCACCGACACCGACCTACAACACCCGCCTCCCCCGCTCTCTGATTGGTCGGAGGAGATTCAACCGAGGAAACTGCAGCCACTAGGATCAGACCTAGACGTACATGTAGGAGATGATCATGGTCCAGAGTTTACACATGGTAAGACCAGACGTACATGTAGGAAATGACCATGGACCAGAGTTTACACATGGTAAGACCAGACGTACATGTAGGAAATGATCATGGACCAGACTTTACACATGGTAAGACCAGACGTACATGTAGGAAATAACCATGGACCAGAGTTTACACATGGTAAGACCAGACGTACATGTAGGAAATGATCATGGACCAGAGTTTACACATGGTAAGACCAGGATATGTGGGAAAAACATAATAAAATCCAACGCCTGGATGCTTGAATGCAGCCTGAAAGCTATTGGTCAAACACACATAGTTTCCTTATGCACAGACCATAACACCAGGGACTGAGATACCATTGCAGCAGGTGAAACTGTAGAATATTTGCTTCGGGGGCCCAGCAGGGGGGGCTAGACTCTCCTCCACTTCAGACATCTACAGGCTTTGCCCACCTCTAAACCAGGTTAGATAAATGGCAGGTGGTACAGAAAGAGCCCCCATTGAGTGCCGTGCTGAGCTACACTTAGACACATTATTATTGCAGTCTGGACAAATAGTGGGAGGAGGGAGGGGGGGAGGAGGGAGGAGGGGGGGCGGCGGCGTGTGGAGAATGTGCAAACGGGAGCGGGCTGCTGACTGCCAGAACATAGGCGAGACAGCGAAACAAGCTCAACACAAAGAAGGACATAGCTGCCTTTGTGCGGTCCTAAAAGGGGGTTTTGTGAGCTGGAGGACTCGCAGGATGGAAGAGGATGGAACAGATAGCGCTGGAGGAGAAAAAGAGAAAGTCCAGCCAGAGTAAACACACTCGGACAGCAACACAAAAACACACACAAGTTTTGGAGAGAAAGCAGCAGGAGGCGTATGATTGGACTGAAGTGGATCAAGAACATTAGTCTCATGAGTTTCTGAGAGGAGTGGGTTTGGAACCTTCTGCACGGATTAGTGTGTACAGTACCATGTGTACAGTACCATGTGTACAGTGTATATCTCTGCACTATATGTATATGTGTTTTCTATGGAAGCCTGGTATTGAAGGTATTTTTTGTGTGCTGCCTGTGTCTCTTACCACTGTCCTGTCTGTGCGCTGCAACATTGACATTTCCCCACAGTGGGACCAATTAAGGATTTGTATCTTATCTTATGTGTGTGTGTCTTTCAGGCTGAAGTAAAAAGTCAAATAATGGTATATATTCTGACCCAGTGCTCACTATGGAACCATCAACTGTTTTTGTCAGAGGGCCAGACTTTTACCAGACTGTCTCCTTTGGGGCCGGACCCCAAAAGAAAAATGTTAATCAGATTTATTTATTTGCTGTTTGCAGTGAAATCTTATGGGAATACGCAAAAGTCCAGTAGTGCAGTACAGAAAGAGAACAAAGTTAAAAATACTAAGACGGGATCAGGACGGGACCAAGACGGGACCAGGACGGGACCAGGACGGGACCAAGACGGGACCAGGACAGGACCAGGATGGGACCAAGACGAGACCAGGACGGGACTAAGACGGGACCAGGACGGGACCAGGACAGGACCAGGATGGGACCGAGACGGGACGGAGACGGGACCAGGACGGGACCAGGACGGGACCAAGACGGGACCAGGACGGGACCGAGACGGGACCGAGATGGGACCGAGATGGGACCAAGACGGGACCAGGACGGGACCAAGATGGGACCAGGACGGGACCGAGACGGGACCGAGACGGGACCGAGATGGGACCGAGACGGGACCAAGATGGGACCAGGACGGGACCAGGACGGGACCAAGAGGGACCAGGACGGGACCAAGACGGGACCAGGACGGGACTAAGACGGGACCAGGACGGGACCAGGACGGAACCAGGACGGGACCAAGACGGGACCAAGACGGGACCAAGACGGGACCAGGATGGGACCAAGACGGGACCAGGACGGGACCAAGACGGGACCAGGACGGGACCAGGACGGGACCAGGACGGAACCAGGATGGGACCAAGACGGGACCAAGACGGGACCAGGACGGGACCAGGACGGGACCAGGACGGGACGGAGACGGGACCAGGGTGGGACCAATAATTTTAAATGTAATCGTAGAATGTGAAGTATTGTCATGTCCACAATTGTAAATAAATGAATGAATAAATAAGTGATTATTTATCATTTTAAGGCCGTCTTGTTTTCTTCTGCCCTTTGAGTTGTGTAGGATCTGTGCTATACAAATAAACTTGCCTTGCCTTAATCCGGTCGATTCACTTTCCTCAACTAATCTCTCCAGTTTGTTTTTGACAACTTAAAACTTTGAAATCCCTGGATAGAACTCGTTACTTGGTTCAGTTTTGTGCTTTCTTTCAAAGGCCTAGACATCTTTTCCAAAACATAATTGAGGCTGATCAACCAGAGGGAAGAAGCTGGAACACTGCTTTTCCAGGGGCCAGAAGAGACACTGATTATTATTACAAAAAATTCAAAAAAAAATCCCAAAAATCTTGCAAAACAGGAGAATGTCTAACCTCAGTCTTGTACAGGTCTGTCTCCAACTATCCAGAACATTTATAGTATAATAATAACAATAACATCATTAACATACTTCCTCAGTGATGACGATGACATTCAGAGGCAGTACTGTCAGCTGTATGGACAGGCTAACACTGAAGCACGGAGATTTCACATGTGTACAGAGAAAGTGAAAATAAAGCCTACTGCACACTGCTCTATACTGCCCCCTGTGGTGCAGATACAGTAAGAGTAAGTTTAAGAAGCTGCAGGTTGCATACAATGATGGACTCTCGTTGGACTAGTGCCGGCTGTTTGTTTTTAATAATGTCCCCGCTCTGACTGCTGTGATCAGAAACTGTTTTTATAAGTTCATGAAACGCTCTGAGCACTCTTTAAATGTAATAATGAATGTGTTTACTGTACAGAGCAGTGTTAGGCTCACCTCTGACCTCTGACCTCTGACCTCTGGAGGCATTGGAGAAACTGTCCGTACAGAATTTTGTAAATATTGAATGTTTGTGTGTTTTTTTGTCTCTTTTGTTTTACATGGACCCTTTGTGTCTCTAAAGATTAAATAAATAAAAAATATATAATTAGGGAAACTCGTTACTTTTCTCAGTTTTGTGCTTTCTTTCAAAGGCTTAGACATCTTTTCCAAAACAGATTCTAAACTGATCGTGTCATGAGTAAAAAGACCATTTTCCGCTCTACTTCACTCTGCTGTACATTTCTTTTGGCACCGACACATTCTTCTGATTACAGCGTTTGTAGATCCTCCACAATCTGAACCGCAGATTATAATATTCATGCAATCATTCTAAACAAAATACACAACAACAGAAGCGCCTAGATTACAGATATTAATGCATCAGTTTTATCCAGCGCTTTTCTGGACTCTCAAAGACGCTTCACATGTCATTATTCAGCTGCCCTGGGGCACACTGACAGAAGCAAGGCAACCAGTCTGTGCCATCAGCCCCTCCCACCACCAACCATTCACACACACACCAGACTCATTCTAATGTGGGGGAAGTGTGTTGCCAAAGGACACAAAGACAGTTAGGCACTTTACAGCCGCCCCACTGTGGCACCTGGTGTTCCCAGAGGTCTCCCGTCACAGCACTAACCAGGCACTGACCTGCTTAGCTTCAGAGGCCTGATAGGATCTGGCTTTTGCATGCAAGTATGGCCACAATTGGGAGACGTGAGATTAAGTTTCTTGCTCAAGGACACAAGACTGACGTCACACACACCAACTGACGTCACACATCACACACACACCAACTGACGTCACACATCACACACACCAACTGACGTCACACACACACCAACTGACGTCACACACACCAACTGACGTCACACACACCAACTGACGTCACACACACACCAACTGACGTCACACACACCAACTGACGTCACACTGTATTTCAGAGTCAATGGAGAGGCCAGCACCAACTTCAAATGTAGTACCACCAAAAAGGTAGAGAGGGCGCCACACAGACGTTTTAGGCTCAAAAGTGAGATTTTATCTAATTTGCACTGAAATGCCAAAACTGACCAGGATATTTAGAGAGCACTACAATAAACATACATGTGCAGTTTATGAGTTAAAAACGTTGATTTGGTGTTTAGTCGCTCAAAACCAGAACCAGCAACATTAGTTATAAAACTTGGATTGAAGTCTGGCTGTTGGGAGTTTTTTGACTCGGGAGAGACTGTTTGCGCTGATTCGTTGTCACCTCTTGGATTTTATTATAATTACTCTCATCAATCTCATCACAATCATTTTTTGACAACAAACACAAAGCACAAATTCAGACTGAGAAGACCACTGCTACAGCTCGCACACCGTCCAGGGACAGCCAATCATAGCCCGGCCAGCCTCGAGCTTCAGCCAATCACACAGCTCTGCCAGCCTCGAGCCTCAGCCAATCACACAGCTCTGCCAGGCTCGAGCCTCAGCCAATCACTGACAGCAAAGCGGGCAGTTTAAAAGCTGCTACTTCCTGAAGCTCTTAACACCCACCACCTCCCCAGCGCCTCCTCAGCTCCTGGTTCCTGCTCTGGCTCCTGCTCTGGTTCCTGCTCTGGCTCCAGCTCTGGCTCCTGCTCTGGCTCCTGCTCTGGCTCCTGCTCTGGCTCCTGCTCTGGCTCCTGCTCTGGCTCCTGCTCTGGCTCCTGCTCTGGCTCCTGCTCTGGCTCCTGCTCTGGCTCCTGCTCCGCCTACGACCCATTCACACCATTTTAAACACAGTGTTTGTCACAGATGTGGACCCGGCGTTTTGTTGTCTCTGGAAAATTAAAAAGAAAGATCGGTCTCTGACTAAATAAGAAAGAAAGAAAATCAAGGGGAAAACATGACGCAAAATAAAATAACTATAATGATGTTTTAAAGCAGAGAAAAGCCTAAAATGAGACCTCCCTTGTCTTTCAGCCTGTGAGCGCTGTAACGCTGCGATGGTGGCTGCACTGTTGAACCACGGGGCAGTGGTGAACAAACCGTGCATCCAGGGCTTCACGGCTCTGCAGGAGGCCGTGGTCCAGAACCATGTGGAGATCTGCGAGATGTTGATCTCAGCCGGAGCCAAAATCAACACCGTAAACATGTTCGGCATCACACCTTTGTTCTCCGCAGCTCAGAATGGAAGCATGGACACTCTGCGCTTACTCATTAAACACGGTCAGACCCAGGACTGAGGCTGTAGACCCAGGATGAGGCTGTAGACCCAGGACTGAGGCTGTAGACCCAGGACTGAGGCTGTAGACCCAGGACTGAGGCTGTAGACCCAGGACTGAGGCTGTAGACCCAGGACTGAGGCTGTAGACCCAGGACTGAGGCTGTAGACCCAGGACTGAGGCTGTAGACCCAGGACTGAGGCTGTAGACCCAGGACTGAGGCTGTAGACCCAGGACTGAGGCTGTAGACCCAGGACTGAGGCTGTAGACCCAGGACTGAGGCTGTAGACCCAGGATGAGGCTGTAGACCCAGGATGAGGCTGTTGACCCAGGATGAGGCTGTAGACCCAGGACTGAGGCTGTAGACCCAGGACTGAGGCAGTAGACCCAGGACTGAGGCTGTAGACCCAGGATGAGGCTGTAGACCCAGGATGAGGCTGTAGACCCAGGATGAGGCTGTAGACCCAGGACTGAGACTGTAGACCCAGGACTGAGGCTGTAGACCAGGACTGAGGCTGTAGACCAGGACTGAGGCTGTAGACCCAGGACTGAGGCTGTAGACCCAGGACTGAGGCTGTAGACCAGGACTGAGGCTGTAGACCCAGGACTGAGGCTGTAGACCAGGACTGAGGCTGTAGACCCAGGACTGAGGCTGTAGACCCAGGACTGAGGCTGTAGACCCAGGACTGAGGCTGTAGACCCAGGACTGAGGCTGTAGACCAGGACTGAGGCTGTAGACCCAGGACTGAGGCTGTAGACCCAGGACTGAGGCTGTAGACCAGGACTGAGGCTGTAGACCCAGGACTGAGGCTGTAGACCCAGGACTGAGGCTGTAGACCCAGGACTGAGGCTGTAGACCCAGGACTGAGGCTGTAGACCCAGGACTGAGGCTGTAGACCCAGGACTGAGGCTGTAGACCCAGGACTGAGGCTGTAGACCCAGGACTGAGGCTGTGACCAGGAGAGGCCCAGGCTGAGGCTGTAGACCCAGGACTGAGGCTGTAGACCCAGGATGAGGCTGTAGACCCAGGACTGAGCCTGTAGACCCAGGATGAGGCTGTAGACCCAGGACTGAGGCTGTAGACCCAGGACTGAGGCAGTAGACCCAGGATGAGGCTGTAGACCCAGGATGAGGCTGTAGACCCAGGACTGAGACTGTAGACCCAGGACTGAGGCTGTAGACCCAGGACTGAGGCTGTAGACCCAAGACTGAGGCTGTAGACCCAGGACTGAGGCTGTAGACCCAGGACTGAGGAGTAGACCCAGGATGGGCTGTAGACCCAGGACTGAGGCTGTAGACCCAGGACTGAGGCTGTAGACCCAGGACTGAGGCTGTAGACCCAGGACTGAGGCTGTAGACCCAGGACTGAGGCTGTAGACCCAGGACTGAGGCTGTAGACCCAGGACTGAGGCTGTAGACCCAGGACTGAGGCGTAGACCCAGGATGAGGCTGTAGACCCAGGACTGAGGCTGTAGACCCAGGACTGAGGCAGTAGACCCAGGATGAGGCTGTAGAACCAGGATGAGGCTGTAGACCCAGGACTGAGACTGTAGACCCAGGACTGAGGCTGTAGACCCAGGACTGAGGCTGTAGACCCAGGATGAGGCTGTAGACCCAGGACTGAGGCTGTAGACCCAGGACTGAGGCAGTAGACCCAGGATGAGGCTGTGGACCCAGGACTGAGGCTGTAGACCCAGGATGAGGCTGTAGACCCAGGGCTGAGGCTGTAGACCCAGGACTGAGGCTGTAGACCCAGGACTGAGGCTGTAGACCCAGGATGAGGCTGTAGACCCAGGACTGAGGCTGTAGACCCAGGACTGAGGCAGTAGACCCAGGACTGAGGCTGTAGACCCAGGACTGAGGCTGTAGACCCAGGACTGAGGCTGTAGACCCAGGACTGAGGCTGTAGACCCAGGACTGAGGCTGTAGACCCAGGACTGAGGCTGTAGACCCAGGACTGAGGCTGTAGACCCAGGACTGAGGCTGTAGACCCAGGACTGAGGCTGTAGACCCAGGACTGAGGCTGTAGACCCAGGACTGAGGCTGTAGACCCAGGACTGAGGCTGTAGACCCAGGACTGAGGCTGTAGACCCAGGACTGAGGCTGTAGACCCAGGACTGAGGCTGTAGACCCAGGACTGAGGCTGTAGACCCAGGACTGAGGCTGTAGACCCAGGACTGAGGCTGTAGACCCAGGACTGAGGCTGTAGACCCAGGACTGAGGCTGTAGACCCAGGACTGAGGCTGTAGACCCAGGACTGAGGCTGTAGACCCAGGATGAGGCTGTAGACCCAGGACTGAGGCTGTAGACCCAGGACTGAGGCTGTAGACCCAGGACTGAGGCTGTAGACCCAGGACTGAGGCTGTAGACCCAGGACTGAGGCTGTAGACCCAGGACTGAGGCTGTAGACCCAGGACTGAGGCTGTAGACCCAGGACTGAGGCTGTAGACCCAGGACTGAGGCTGTAGACCCAGGACTGAGGCTGTAGACCCAGGACTGAGGCTGTAGACCCAGGATGAGGCTGTAGACCCAGGACTGAGGCTGTAGACCCAGGACTGAGGCTGTAGACCCAGGATGAGGCTGTAGACCCAGGACTGAGGCTGTAGACCCAGGACTGAGGCTGTAGACCCAGGATGAGGCTGTAGACCCAGGACTGAGGCTGTAGACCCAGGACTGAGACTGTAGACCCAGGATGAGGCTGTAGTAATCTATCCTGGTTCCTTTTGCAGGTGCAGACATAAACACTCAGGCTCATGATGGGAACACGGCGCTGTATGAAGCCGTTAAGAACCGTCATGAGAAGGTGGTGGAGCTGCTGCTGTCCCAGAAAGCCGACACCAACACAACTGGAAAATATGGACTCCTGCCTCTGCACGTCGCTGCACAGAACGGCCACGAGGCGTATGTGACGACCGCACACCACATCCTTCATCCACAATTACACTATCCTCCATTGACGTCAGGCTTTCTGCTTTATTGCACAATTAGGGACAGATTCAAACAGCCTCTTCTGTCTTTCTTCTTGCAGTGTATTCATTTTTAACTATTATAATCTGTGCTAAGTTCATCATATGAAATGTGAAAGTTTTCACAGCTTTATAATCAGAATCAGAATCCTTTTTATTGCCATGTGAGTAACAAGAAGTCACAAACTAGGAAATTGCTTTGGCTCTCGGTGCAAAGAAGTTAAATCAGAAAAAAATAGTGTTTCTGTTCGGTTCTTGCACCGCGCTTAGCTTGACTCGTCACCTAGGACCTGTTTGCCGAAGGAGACCCTACAAGGGGCATAAAGACCCCGGCAACATGGCTCCTACGATCATCCGAGCTCGCAAATTCCTCCATGTTTAGGTGGCAGTCTACAATTGTTAAGAAGGTCTTTTCATCTACAGTATCTTGGCATTGAAAGCAGCCGTCTTAAATAGTTCATGTTATATTATAACATGATGTATCATTACATCAGCCTCACACCCACAAACCCGAAAAGTACCGCACCAAACTCCACCGGATCAACCAGGGACATGACGACGCCTGAGCCTGTACATACGGCTGTACATGATTCTAATTTCCCCTACGTTCAAACATGTTGCACAAGGACTTCAAATGATGTGGTCTAATCTACATTTTAACAATTGCATGACATTTGTCTGTGCACAGGATTACGTCACTGTTGATCCCAAAGACCAGTCGGACTCGTGTGCGTCGTTGCGGCATCAGTCCCCTACACTTAGCCGCCGAAAGGAACAGAGATGAAGTTCTGGAGATGCTCCTCGACGCAGGGTCTGAACATTTACAATTTCATAACAAGACTGAATAGTAGTAGTTAAACAAGGTGGGAATAAACCGGCGCTGAGTTTGGCAGACGGAGATATGATTAAGTAGGTAAAGTTAGATGCTCAAGTTAGACAGATCCTAAACTACGGCATGACTCAAAAGGTTCAAGAAGATTTTTGGTGACATTATAGGACATACCTCAGTAATGGAGTCAGATGTGAAGAGCCCTTTAATCACTCTGATTCTCTTGCCCACAGGTACGACGTGAACGCGCTGCTGAACGATGAACGTAGCCATCTGTATGAAGACCGCCGCCGCTCTGTGCTCTACTTTAGCGTCGCTAATGTGAACATACACGCTGTGCGCCCTTTGCTGTCGCACGGAGCCAAGACCGACCTGGACACACTGCCCCCCCTGCTGGTGGCGGTGCGTCAGGGCGCGCTGCAGACCGTCAACCTGCTGCTGGAACACGGGGCCCAGGTGAACGTGAGCGTGCCGGGCCTCACCACCTCCTTCCCTCCTCTCATCATGTTCACAGCCCGTGATCCACTGCTGCTCAAAGTCCTGCTGGACCACGGCCTGCAGGGGGCGCCGTGTTTCAGCTGCTCCTACGGCAACAGGCCACACCCACCACTCCGCAGCCGACCAGAGAACGACACACGCATCATGGAGGTAATGATCTGTACATTCTATAGTTTTAAAGTCCAAGTGGAGAAGCCCAGACTTCCATAGCCACGCACACTTCCTCCAGCTAAAGCCTGGTTCACACGGCAGGATAATAAGGCCAATTTTGGACCCGATTTACCCCTAAGACAATCGTAAGAACGCGCCGAATATCGTAAAAAAAAATCGGATGGATTTTCCTGCCGTGTGTGGTGTGTTAAGACTGTGCTGGTCGGTCGGAAGGACTTCGGGACTGCTCCGATCTCAATATCGGGGATATCCAACATGTTGGATTGTTTTGGCCCGATTTCTCTTCGTGTGTGGTGTCCCCCGAGGACATGACTGCGGCGTGTAGCCTATCAGAAGACGAGACGAGCCAGCGAGGAAACACCATAAAATAAAAACCAAAACAGTCAGCGGCATGGCGCTGACTCCCCCCTTGGACTGCCACCTTAACGTGGTGGGGGAGTTTGAGCACTCGGATGATCCTGGGAGCTATGCTGTCTGGGGCTTCATGCCCCTGGTAGGGTCTCCCATGGCAGACAGGTCTCAAGTGACGAGTCAGACGAAGCGCAGTCCGAAGCCAACCATGGACAGCACGACAATGAGAACCGTGACGTCGCCCGGCATGGCGCAGCCGGGGCCCCACCCTGGAGCCAGGCCTGGGGTCGGGGCTCGCAAGCGAGCGCCTGGTGGCCGGGCCTTAGCCCACGGGGCCCGGCCGGGCTCAGCCCAAAGGGATGACGTGGGCAGTCCCTCCTGTGGGCCCACCACCTGCAGAGGGGTCCGTGGTGGCGAGGTGCAGAGAGGACTGGGCAGCAGTCGAAGGCGGAGACCTCGACGACCCAGTCCACACACCCAACATCTGGCTCTTGGGACGTGGAACGTCACCTCACTGGGGGGGAAGGAGCCCGAGCTTGTGGGGGAGGTTGAGCGATACCGACTAGAGATAGTCGGCCTCACCTCCACACACAGCTTGGGCTCTGGAACCCAACTCCTTGAGAGGGGTTGGACGCTCCACTTTTCTGGTGTTTCCCGCGGGGAGAGGCGGCGAGCTGGGGTGGCCATACTCATTGCCCCCCATCTCAGCCGCCACGTGTTGGAGTTCTCCCCGGTGAATGAGAGGGTCGCGTCCCTCCGCCTCCGGGTGGGGGACAAGTCTCTCACTGTTGTGACAGCCTACGGGCCTAACGGTAGTGCAGAGTACCCGGCCTTCTTGGAGTCCTTGGGAGGGGTACTGGACAGTGCACCGCCCGGGGACTCCGTTATTCTCCTGGGGGACTTCAACGCCCATGTGGGAAATGCCAGTGACACTTGGAGAGGGGTGATCGGGAAGAACGGCCCCCCTGATCTGAACCCGAGCGGTGTTCAGTTGTTGGACTTCTGTGCCAGTCACGGCCTGTCCATCACGAACACCATGTTTGAGCACAAGGGTGTCCATCAGTGCACGTGGCACCAGGACACCCTAGGCCGGAGGTCGATGATCGACTTTGTAGTCGTATCATCTGACCTTCGACCGCGTGTTTCGGACACTCGGGTGAAGAGAGGGGCGGAGCTGTCAACCGATCATCACCTGGTCGTGAGTTGGATCCGCTGGCAAGGCAGGAGGAGGACGGACTTTCAACTCACACCTCCGGGAGAGCTTCTCCCAGGTCCCGGCAGAGGAGGGGGACATCGAGTCCGAGTGGACCATGTTCTCTTCCTCTATCGCCAATGCAGCGGCTCGTAGCTGTGGTCGCAAGGTCTCTGGTGCTGGTCCCGGCGGCAATCCCCGAACCCGGTGGTGGACACCTGCAGTAAGGGATGCCGTCAGGCTGAAGAAGGAGTCCTATCGAGCAATGATGGTTCGTGGGACTCCTGAGGCAGCTGTCCAGTACCGGCAGGCCAAACGTGCCGCGGCCCGGGCTGTTGCAGAGGCAAAAACCCGGGACTGGGAGGAGTTCGGAGAGTCCATGGAGCATGACTATCGGTCGGCCTCGAAGAGGTTCTGGCAAACCGTCCGGCGCCTCAGGAGGGGGAAGCAGTTCTTTGCCAACACCGTGTATGGTGCGGGTGGAGGGCTGCTGACCTCGACTGGGGATATTGTCGGGCGGTGGAAGGAATACTTCGAGGTTCTCCTCAATCCCCCCGTCACGTCCTCCGTCCAGGAGGCAGAGGCTGAGGATGTTGGGGCGGATACTTCCATCTCCCTGGCCGAGGTCACCAAGGTGGTTGGCAGCCTCCATGGTGGCAAGGCGCCGGGAGTGGATGAGATCCGTCCTGACTATCTAAAGTCTCTGGATGTTGTAGGACTGTCTTGGCTGACACGTCTCTGCAACATCGCGTGGCGATCGGGGGCAGTGCCAATGGAGTGGCAGACCGGGGTGGTGGTTCCTCTCTACAAGAAGGGGGACCGGAGGGTGTGTTCCAATTATCGTGGGATCACACTCCTCAGCCTCCCCGGTAAGGCCTACTCCAAGGTACTGGAGAGGAGGCTACGGCCGATGGTCGAATCTCGGATTCAGGAGGAGCAGTGTGGTTTTCGTCCCGGTCGCGGAACACTGGACCAGCTCTATACTCTCCATCGGATACTCGAGGGTTCATGGGAGTTCGCCCAACCTGTCCACATGTGCTTTGTGGATTTGGAGAAGGCGTTCGACCGTGTTCCCCGGGGTGTCCTTTGGGGGGTCCTCCGGGAGTACGGGGTCCGGGGTCCTCTGCTGAGGGCTGTTCGGTCCCTGTATGACCGGAGCCAGAGCTGTGTCCGCATTGCCGGCAGTAAGTCAGACCTGTTCCCGGTGCATGTTGGCCTCCGCCAAGGCTGCCCTTTGTCACCGGTTCTGTTCACTGTATTTATGGACAGAATCTCTAGGCGCAGCCAGGGGCCGGAGGGGGTCCACAGGATTTCATCTCTACTTTTTGCGGATGATGTCGTCCTGCTGGCTCCAACGAACCAGGACCTGCAACATGCACTGGGACGGTTTGCAGCCGAGTGTGAAGCGGCTGGGATGAGAATCAGCACCTCCAAATCCGAGGCCATGGTGCTCGACCGGAAAAAGGTGCCTTGCCCTCTGCAGGTGGGTGGAGAGGTCCTTCCTCAAGTGGAGGAGTTCAAGTGGCTCGGGCGGCACGGTGGCTGAGTGGATAGCACTCTCGCCTCTCAGCAAGGAGGTCCTGGGTTCGAATCCCGGCCGGACCAGGGCCTTTCTGAGTGGAGTTTGCATGTTCTCCCCGTGTCTGCGTAGGTTTCCTCCGGGTACTCCGGTTTCCCCTACCACTAAAAATATGTACAATAGGTATGGCATGTGCCTCCTGTACTGGCGACCCCACTCCCAACAATTGTAAACCGCTTTGAGACTCCGATGTGCAGTGAAAAGGCGGTATATAAATAAAAAGCTTACTTGCTTACTAAGTATCTCGGGGTCTTGTTCACGAGTGAGGGGAGGATGGAGCGTGAGATTGACAGGCGGATCGGTGCAGCGTGCGCAGTGATGCGGTCTCTGTATTGGACCGTTGTGGTAAAGAGGGAGCTGAGCCGAAAGGCAAAGCTCTCAATTTACCGGTCAATCTTCGTTCCCTCCCTCACCTATGGTCATGAGCTTTGGGTAATGACCGAAAGAACGAGATCGCGGATACAAGCGGTCGAAATGAGCTTCCTCCGCAGAGTGGCTGGGCGCTCCCTTAGAGAGCTCGGAGTAGAGCCGCTGCTTCTCCACGTCGAGAGGAACCAGTTGAGGTGGCTCGGGCATCTGTTCAGGATGCCTCCTGGACGCCTTCCTGGGGAGGTGTTCCGGGCACGTCCCACCCGGAGGAGGCCCCGGGGAAGACCCAGGACACGCTGGAGAGACTATGTCTCTCAGCTGGCCTGGGAACGCCTTGGGGTCCCCCCGGACGAGCTGGAGGAAGTGTGTGTGGATAGGGAAGTCTGGGCGTCTCTGCTTAGACTGCTGCCCCCGCGACCCGGCAACGGATAAAGCGGAAGAAAATGGATGGATGGATGGATTTTCCTGCCGTGTGTGGTGTGTTAAGACTGTGCTGGTCGGTCGGAAGGACTTCGGGACTGCTCCGATCTCAATATCGGGGATATCCAACATGTTTTGGCCCGATTTCTCTTCGTGTGTGGTGTCCCCCGAGGACAGACGTGCGCGTTGCCATGACTGCGGCGTGTAGCCTATCAGAAGACGAGACGAGCCAGCGAGGAAACACCATAAAATAAAAACCAAAACAGTCAGCGGCATGGCGCACCAGAAAGTTTGGTGGACATCAGAGATGGAGGAACAACTAGTTGACCTCTGGCAGCACCGTGAATGTATGTATGACGTGTCGTGTAAAGAATATCATCACCGAAATGCTGCTGCACAGGTAGTGTTGGCATCAGCCCTGTTCGGACGGGATTAGTACTAAATGATCAGACTGATGGTTGTGTTTGTACGTTTACTTTGCTCTGTCCTAATACAGTACAGACGTGTTGATGCAGCCGTGCTTGTTGGTTTGCGCGTATGTAAAGTTTCATGTCTAGCAGTGTGTGTGATGCGTTCACAGGTCGTCCGTACAAACTGTATTGTTGAACAGCACAGACAGCACGGGCCAGAGAACTGTAGAGCAGTAAAATCCACATGTGTTTGTCCTCATGGTGTCTGTGGCTGCTGTGGTCAGACCAGAGTCTCTATAGGCTGCATGAAGCAGAGAGGCCCGCACACTCTGTTTACTCTGAAGTCACGCTTGATCTCGAGAGATGTTGTGAGATTTCCGGTGGCCTGTGAATGATCGGGGGTGAAATCGGTTCGTGTGTGATGTGTGTGGTTTGTGTGATTTTGCCGTGTAGCTGCGCACCACACACTGTACGACCAAAGTGGTTAGACCCATGATTTTTTATCTCTGTGTGTAAGGTCTCATCTCACGCGGAGAAAAAAATTGGCCGACAATTTTAAAATCGTCTCGTGTGAACCAGGCTTTATCTGTGGGGATCCTGAGGCGTCCTGGAGGCATCCATAACAGATGCCCGAGCCTCCTTGACTGGTTCCTCTCGACAGGGTGAAGCAGCGGCACTACTCCGGGCTCCTCCCATGTGACCGAAATCCATATTCTATCTCTAAGGAAGGAAGACGCTGCGACAGTAAAATGATAGAGTTGGTATCGTTGGTATCATTTTGTTTACGTGAAGAAGGTGTTTGAGAGAGTCTCTCTCTCTGGTCTCTTTCTGGTCTCTCTCTGGTCTCTTTCTGGTCTCACTCTGGTCTCACTCTGGTCTCACTCTGGTCTCACTCTGGTCTCTCTTTCTGGTCTCTTTCTGGTCTCTTTCTGGTCTCTTTCTGGTCTCTTTCTGGTCTCTTTCTGGTCTCTCTCTGGTCTCTCTCTGGTCTCTCTCTGGTCTCTCTCTGGTCTCTCTCTGGTCTCTCTCTGGTCTCTCTCTGGTCTCTTTCTGGTCTCTTTCTGGTCTCTTTCTGGTCTCTTTCTGGTCTCTTTCTGGTCTCTTTCTGGTCTCTTTCTGGTCTCTTTCTGGTCTCTTTCTGGTCTCTTTCTGGTCTCTTTCTGGTCTCTTTCTGGTCTCTCTCTGGTTTCTCTCTGGTCTCTGTAGTTTCACTTTCTATTCCCATTGCTGCTGTTACAGAATGATGTTGGTTCTTTCCCGTCTTTGGCCTGAGGAGGATGTTGTTGAGGAAGTGGTTCTACTGCTGGGGGTCGCAGGTGTAAAGTTGCACTGCCCCCTACTGGCCGGGCGTTAAAACTACATTGTTGTCCATCACCGTCTAAACGCTGTGAACTTTGAATAAAGAGCCTGGTCGTTTTTGCAAGTTGCTTCTCTTTTGTTTGGTTTGATTGACAGTTCTGTGAGTTGGTGTCGTCCACATCGGCAAGCAGGTGGGTGGGGCCTATCGTGGACCTCCTATTGGACTACGTGGGTCATGTGACACTGTGCTCCCGCCTCCTGGAGCACTTGGACAGTTACTCAGAGTGGAGCCCCATCAAGGACAAAGCAGGTACAATAAAAGCTCTGGTATAAAGTGTAAAGAAGAGCTTTCCTTTTAGACACGGCTACTGTCCATCCATCTTCTTCCCCTTAATCCATTTCCCGGTCGGGGGGTGGCAGTCGTGGGAGTTGAAGGTCCATCGAGGAGCCAGTCAGCCCCCATGGAGGGCAGGCATGGACATCAGATAAGGGTAAAATCCAATAGCAACCATGTAAACCCTGTGAGATCCCGAAGTACCAGGCTGGGATATGAAGCAAGTTTATTGTCAAAATAGATTGGAATAACCAGAGAGTATGAAAACCAAGCCCCAGGACTCTGGTTCTCCTGGTCTTGTGCAGTAGTGACGTGGTTGTACTTCCACAGGACCAGAGTCACATATGAGCGTTCTCACCAATCAGAACGCCGCTGAGAGATCGGCGAGAGAGACCACAGAGGGAGACCAGGGAGAGATCAGATAGAGACAAGTGACAGACCAGAGAGAGACCAGTGACAGACCGGAGAGAGAGACCAGTGACAGACCAGAGAGAGACCAGTGACAGACCAGAGAGAGACCACAGAGGGAGACCAGAGAGAGATCAGAGAGAGACCAGGGAGAGATCAGAGAGAGGCCAGAGAGAGACCAGTGACAGACCAGAGAGAGACCAGTGACAGACCAGAGAGAGACCAGAGAGAGACCAGAAAGAGACCAGAGAGAGACCAGAGAGAGACCAGAGAGAGATCAGAGCAAGACCAGAAAGAGGCCAGAGAGAGACCAGAGAGAGACCAGTGACAGACCAGAGAGAGAGCAGTGACAGACCAGAGAGAGACCAGAGAGTAAGACCGGAGAGAGATCAGAGAGGACCGGGTGCCCAAAGAAGGCTTGTCCCTGTTTTTTGAATTATTTTTGATTACTGTCAAAAATGCCTCAGATGTTTTTGTTCCTCTTGTCTCTGGTCCTCAGTGCCTCCGCGGTCGCTCATGCACCTGTGTCGGTTGAAGATCCGCTCGCTGGTGCAAAGACATCGGCTAAAACATCTGCCGCTGCCTCCAACGCTGCTGCGATTCATCCTGCACCAGCTCCGAGGAGACCTGGACCCAGAGACCATGGACTTACGCAACTACGAGATCTACATCTAGACCAGCTCCAAGTAGACCTGGACCCAGAGAGCCTGGACTCACTCTACATCTAGACCAGCTCCAAGGAGACCTGGACCCAGAGACCATGGACTCACTCTACATCTAGACCAGCTCCAAGGAGACCTGGACCCAGAGACCATGGACTCACGGAACTACGAGATCTAGAAAGAGGAAGGGGAAACTTGTCTTTTGAGTAATGCACGTCAACAGACTAGGATTTCTTACTATTAAAAGTAAACCCCAAATCAACTTTTTTTTTTTTAAGTTTCTTATAATGCTATACATCGGGGGTGCTCACACTTTTTCAGCATGCGGGCTACTTATGAAATGATCAAGTCAAAATGATCTACCTACTATAAAAATGCAAAACATTTATTTCTAAATATATTGACGATTCTTTATGTCTACAATGTATGTTGATGTTCATGCAAAACTGCATGATTGATAAAATAATTTGCATCCACACATAACCGAACATCTGCGTTTTCAATGACATTCATAAAATTCCAAACATGTGCGTCTCTGACGTCCTGCGTTGGGGAAAACACAGAAGTGGGCGGAGCTTTGACGCAGACGCCGGTACTTCTATTGCGGCACAAAAAAGTCTATGAGCGGCACTTTTACAGTCATAGAAGAAACTCAGGGTGAAGACATATGTTTATAAGCACTAACCCCCGTCCTTAGCCCTGGTTTGATCCTGGGCACGGTCACAGGTTTTTACAAACGTACTAGGCCAAATGGTCCAGATCGTCGCCACAGGGTGTGAAAACGGCCCGTGGTCACATGAACGTATTGTCTGAACCGTGCCAGGGAAATTGTGCTGTAGTCCAACACTCGGTCCAGCTGGTGGCGCTAATACTAACACCAGAGACTACCTCGTTGCCCTGGTTCAGATCCGCTTCTTTTCCTGTGGACACACACACACACACATACAAACAGCAAGAGCGCTGAGAAAAGTGTGGCGTATGAGCATAGTGACCGCAGACAGGGAGGTTACAAGTGTGTGTGTGTGTTTGTGTGTGTGTGTGTGTGTGTGTGTGTGTTCTGGTGATAAAATAAAGACTGATTCTTGAATGTCTGAAGTGTTATTGCAATAGCACCACACTGAGAGCGAGCGTCAGGACAGAAGAGAGCTGTACCCGTAGGAAACGCTCCAATTTGGCTCTGCAGAGAGATACTCCCCCGGTGCCCCTCGACCACGGTCCGGGGCTTATATGAAAGGTTTAACACAAGCGGAGAATACGAAAGTGCAGGAGAGACATGTGTGAAAATGCGTGTCACGTAATGTGACGCGCAATATCAAGTCGTCCCCGCACCTGATCCCCCACTCCCCACCCCCCGCCACACTGACCACCCTCATCGCCGCTGGGAAGCGGGCCCGGTCAGATGGCACCTAAAGCCGAAGCGGGCCCTGGCACACTTTAACCGGGCTTTAGGCTGCGCATGTGACCGCAGCCTGGTTTAGCTCCTGTTTTGGTTGTTTTCGAGCGCGCCTGATCACTTTGCTGCTCTCGAGGATGCTCGCTGTGAACCGCCGCAGCAGTGAACACTTTTTAAGGCAGTAAGATCCATGGTTCAGTGATCAGAGATCACACGTTTTGTTTGTTGTTTTTGTTTTGGGGGCATACTGTGGCGTGCGAAAACGCAAAACTCCGATTATTTCTGTCTACACGCAAATGCATAAACAAATTTACCTTTGCAATCGACCGGTAGATCGCGATCGACGTATTGAGCATCCCTGCTCTACATGGTACATTTTAGACATTTTAGTGCAAATTACATAAAATATCACTTTTTGTGTCTGTGTGGCGGCCTCTACATTTTCAGGTGCACTGCATTGGATTTTGAAGCCCCCGCTGGAAGATCTCAGCTCCTGTGGACTCACCACCTGCAGGAGGATCAGTGAGGGGCTGGTGCTAAGTGTCCTGGGTGCAGCTCTGACTGCCACCCCCGACCCAGAAATGGGTTAAGGGGAAGAAAATGGATGGATGGATACATTTGAATTTGGTCCTGGCTTCTCCATTGGCTCTGGAGCGCAGTGTGACATCACTTTGTGTCTGTAGTATAAAAGCAGCCAAGTCTCACACACGCCCTGTTGAGTGTTGAAGTATTCTGGCGACATCTAGTGGTTTAAAATCGAATTACATCACTTGACAGCCACCACTATAGAGGTTTTGCACCACCATGTGACCTACATAGCAACCGTCACTAGGCGGCCATGTTAGATGGCAGGTATGAAACTTTATACAGTCAGATTCAACACAGTGGCTGAGAGCGCACCTTTACTTAGGCTGATGGGAAAGTTTTGCTGCGTCTTTAATTGTGGTAAACGCTCAGAGCGAGACAAAGATGTCTATTTTTTTTTAATTCCGGCCGTAATTTGCCATCGAGGAAAAGAAACTATCAAAAAAGCGACTGCAGCAATGGTTAGCAAGCTAGCATTTGTGACGATGCAGTTCAAAACGGGGAAATCAAAGTGTTTGTCTGTTCTTGTCATTTTCACCTAAAGTTAGTTGTTCTAATAAAAACATTGCGTTGCGTCATCACAATCAGATTTAACGCTACATATCAACAGGACATACAGAGGATTATTCACACATGGTCTGCATTGTTTGCTCAAACAAAACTCTAAAATAAAAAGCACATTTAAAAGTGTGTTATGGTCTTACCTTATATGAACTCCATTCACCACTTCATTCAGTTCAGACCAGTTTCATGTTTAAGTCCAGATCAAAGTTGAGTATAGATATGTAATCCTCCGTTTAGATAATAATAAGATTCAAAAAGTAAAAAGAACAAATACGGGTGTCCCTCTTGTTTTGCTAGCTCCATGTTTGTTAAATCCACTTTTTTATCCTTTTACTTCAAATTCCACTAGAAAGCCTCTTTGGTAGCTCTTCCTCTGCTGAGAGCAGCTACAGGTTTGGCTAACATACTTTACATGAGGTACATTTTTTTTGACGCAGGTGTGTCAAAGTAAGCAGTACTGCAGGGCTGCTCTGTGCACCTTTTTAGTAAACTTTTAACAACTTTTTAGCGCGTTTTTATTGTTCAGTTTTTTAATATATCTGAGTGTTTTATCTTATTAATTCAGTGGTTTCAGCAAATAGCGCTTAGTCCCGACTGAAACCCACTAGTAGCACAGAGGCTAACACAAGCTAACGAGGACATGGAAAGTGACAATGAAATTGGCTCAAACATGCACAATATTAGTCGCCTCACCTTGGAGCTCCGTGAGAGCGACCGTGCCACCATTGCAGATCTACGAAAAGAAGTCCTTCGTCTCACCGCAGAGTTGAATGAGAAACAATCTCTAGTATCCAAACTTTTTGAAGTCGCTGGTGGGCAGCATTCACGGCTGATGTCACTGAGCGCTGCATATTGTGACACTGTCGTGTGGGAGAGATCCGTCAGCTCCGGACCCTCCTGTTCTACACCTAAGCGCCCGCTTACGAATAACGAGCCCGCCGATTCCGAGGAGCCATCCTGCGCCGTGGCCCATGTCCTGAGTCTGGCAAACCGCTATGCAGCCCTCTCCACCGACATCCCGGCCCCCTCAGCAGAATCCCTGGACACTGCAGCGTACTCTACTGCTCGAGGATCCAAGTCCACTACGAGGAAAACGCTCCTAAAGGAAGCAGTCCTCAGGCGAAAGAGCGGTCCACCAGCCATGTTGGCCTGTTCCCCTTCTTTGACCCCAGTGCAGCAGCCTCAGACTGGGGTAGCGAGCCATCATCACCACCGCTCACCTCCACCGGGTCAGCAGCAGCGCCCAGAGCCAGCCCCTCTCACCGCTCCAGCGTCCCCGAGCACACAGCGTGGGTCGCCTGTAGCTGAGAGTCAGCACCCCCGCTCCTCCTCTCCATGTGTTCAGCGGCGCTCAGGCTCCGGTCCTGCTTCGGGTGAACCCGCTGGTTCCGTCCACCGAGCTCCTTCTCCGAGGCCGCGTCCACGTCCACTCTTCGCCCCGACCACTCTGATTATTGGAGATTCCATTGTGAGACACGTCCGCTTCTTCAACGCGGTCACTCGCTGTATTCCCGGAGCTACTGTACCAGACCTGCTCATCCGTCTCCCTCCTCTGCTTCAGTCCCTGCCTGATACCGTTTCCAAGGTAGTCGTGCATGTGGGAATTAACGACATGAAACTTCAGCAGTCAGAAGTCACGAAGAAACATTTTATGGATCTGTTCCACCTCCTTCAATCCTCCGGACTATCTGTTTTTATTTCTGGTCCAATCCCGACTGTAAGCAGAGGTGACTGCCTCTACAGTCGTGTTGTGGCGCTGCATATGTGGCTCCAGGCTACATGCAGCTCTTTTAACTTTGTCTTTGTGAATAACTTTGCCCTTTTCTGGAAACGTTACGAAGCCTATCGTCCAGACGGATTACACCCAAACAGATACGGTAGCAGCCTGTTGATGGATTACATGCGCCATGTTGTTCAGCGTTCCCCGAGGGGGGCGTGACTGTTTACATCTGAGCCCCCTCGGACCCCACCGCACTCCCCCGCCTCCTGCTCACCAGCACCGGGTGAGTACAACGGTGCAAACACTGCTCCCTGTCCGTCTGGCAGTGCATTACCAGTCCAAACACTGAACTGTGCTGACTCCCTTCTGACTCTGGGAGCTAAAGAACAACAAGGGTTTTCACATTTTAGGCCAATTGAGACTGTGTGTGTTCCTCGCACCAGCTCAAAAATGTTTTTAAATTCTAAAAAACGAAATCAAAACAGGACAGCAGTTAGACGGTCCAACTCTGCAAATCTAATTTCTGTTCCCTGTAGAAATCAATCAACCACATTAATCGACTCTGACGTTATTTTTAAACTTGCTATGCTTAATGTCAGATCTCTATGTAACAAATCATTTTTAATTAATAATTTTATCACTTCTTATGATCTTGATTTTATGCTTATGGCTGAAACATGGCTGGACCAAAATACAGGAAATGCAGTTCTAATAGAAGCAACACCACCCAATTTTAAATTCGAATCCGAAATACGAGAAAACAAAAGGGGGGGAGGCATAGCTGCAGTTTTTAGAGAGCACTTTGTCTCCCATAGAATGCCCCTTGGAAATTTTTCATCGTTTGAGTATATTTCTTTTAAAATGGAACAAAAGCAATCTTCTACTCTTTTCATTGTCCTGTACAGGCCACCACAGTCATGTTGCAATTTTATTGACCATTTTACTGAACTACTTTCATTCGTGTGCACAGATTTTGATAGTTTAGTTATTACAGGTGATTTTAATGTACATGTTGATAATGTTGATGACAGAAATGCAAAGGAGCTGGCTTCTGTATTTGAGACCTTTGGTTTCATTCAGCACGTGAGTGGCCCCACCCACAGCAGGGGGCACACTCTTGACCTGCTAATTACAAAGGGGGTTAATGTATCAAATGTTAATGTAGTTGATGTTGCTTTGTCAGATCATTTCTGTGTATTTTTTGACATGTGTTTTGCTAGCAAACCACCAGCTGAATTTACAATTGTTAGAAGAAGACACATACATGAAAACACAAGTGAACTGTTCATGGGAATGCTAAATTTTGAGAAAACTCCATGCTCTACTGTTGATGAATTGTATAACTCTGTCACCACCAGTGTTCTGACTGTTCTGGACGCCATTGCTCCTGTGACGGTTAAAATAGTTACCAGTAAGAAAAAGGCCCCATGGACTAAGGCAGACTCGGTCAGGGCACAGAAGCAAGAGTGCCGGAGGGCCGAACGGAAGTGGCGAAAGTCCAATTTCCAGGGCGATTATGAAATCTTTAAAGATGAGTTGGGTGAATTTAACCGGGTTCTACGTAGAACAAGAGAAATGTATTTTTCTGACATTATTGGAGGTTGCAGTAACAATTTTCGTGTTATGTTTTCAACAGTTGGTAGATTAACGAACCCCCCTGTAAAGTTGCCCCTAGAATTTTCCTCTAAATCTAGGTGTAATGAGTTCGCACAGTTTTTCAATGACAAAGTACAAGGAATCAAAAACACTATCACCTCCACAGCACGTATAACAATGCAACAGCCAGAGAAGCTTTTTGAGCTAACTCACTTTGCACCTGTGGATACTGAAACTGTCAAAAAGATAATCATGAGTCTGAGCTCCTCCACATGTAGCCTGGATATATTGCCCTCTAAATTTCTGAAGTCCGTCCTGAGCAGTTTGTTACCTTCACTGACACAAATAGTAAACATGTCTCTGTCGTCAGGAACATTTCCTATGGCCCTAAAAACAGCAGTCATAAGACCTCTCCTAAAAAAGAGCAGTCTGGATCCTGCGGGACTTCAAAATTATCGCCCCATATCGAATCTGCCATTCATTGGAAAAATTCTTGAAAAAGTGGCCTCCCAACAACTTACTGAATTTTTAACAATGAATAATTCTTTTGATATGTTCCAGTCTGGGTTTAGACCCCACCACAGCACTGAGACCGCTCTAGTGAAGGTAACAAACGACATTCGACTTCACACTGATGCAGGTAAAGTCACAGTTTTGGTCATGTTAGATCTTAGTGCCGCGTTCGACACTGTCGACCATGAGATCCTCATGCAGAGACTGGAGGACTGGGTTGGTGTCACTGGCACAGCCCTAGACTGGTTTAGGTCTTACCTGGAGGATAGGAAGTACTCTGTGGAGATTGGAGACTGCGTCTCAGATGATGTGGCCCTGACCTGTGGAGTACCACAGGGGTCGATCCTGGGACCTCTCCTATTTAATCTCTACATGCTGCCGTTAGGTCAGTTAATACAAAGAAACAAAGTGTCCTACCACAATTACGCCGACGACACTCAGATCTATGTCTCACTGACTGCAGGAGAACATGGACCACTGGATTTGCTCCTTCACTGTATCCAACAGATCAGTGACTGGATGCAAAATAATTTCCTCCAGCTAAATGCAGACAAAACCGAAATCATTGTCTTTGGTCCCCAGAAACAAAGAGAGGGCGTCATTTGTCAACTTCAGTCTCTCTCCCTACTTCCTTCAGACAAGGTCAGAAATTTGGGGGTAATACTGGACTCAGACCTAAATTTCAATAGCCACATAAAATCAATAACATCAACAGCTTTTTACCATCTGAAGAACATTGCCAAAGTTAGAAATATAGTGTCCAGGGCAGACTTGGAGATTCTTGTCCATGCATTTGTCTCCAGCAGGCTAGACTACTGCAATGGCCTGCTTACAGGTCTGTCCAAACAGACCTGTAAGCAGCTGCAGTACATCCAAAATGCAGCAGCTAGAGTCCTGACAGGAACCAGGAAGTATGACCATATTAGTCCGGTCCTCAGGTCTCTGCACTGGCTTCCTGTGGCTCAAAGAATAGATTTTAAAACGGCTCTGCTTGTGTACAAGTCTCTCCATGGCCTTGCACCAGAATACATTAGTGACATGTTGGTGTCATATGAACCGGCCCGGACTCTGAGGAGCACAGGGACTGGCCTCCTGCTGGTGCCCAGAGTGAGAACCAAACATGGGGAGGCTGCGTTTCAGATCCATGCAGCTAAGATCTGGAACAATCTCTCTGAAAATGTGAGGGAGGCGTCTACTCTGTCAATGTTCAAATCCAGGTTAAAGACTGTTCTGTTTGCCTGTGCATACAACTGAAGGATTTTATCTCCATTTCTAATGCACTGCTGTCATTTATTTATTTTTTTTAAATTTCTTGTGTAATTTTGAAAGTTTTAATGGTTTTATTCTTTTGTGTGATTTTAATGTTTTAATTGTGTTTTAATCTTTTGTGTGATTTTAATGTTTTAATTGTGATGGTGTTTGTTTTATGTGATGATTTGTGATGTGGACTGTGAAGCGCTTTGTGTTGCCCTGTGTATGAAAGGCGCTCTACAAATAAACTTTGATTGATTGATTGATTGATACATGTAAACATGTTAAGATATAAAAGATGTAAAAGCCACTCATACCAATCATATGCTTCCAATGAGATAGGAATGATACGGACAAGTAAAGGATAAGTGGATTTAACAAATTGGACGCACCCGAAAGTCGGGGCTGCAGCGTGAGCAGGAGAGGAGTCTTGGGAGTTAGTGCGCAGACGTAGCGCTCCTCGTATTATTACGCCTCACAATATAGTTCCTCTTTTTATCCGCTGAGAAAATGGACATGTTACATTTCTGTGTTACTATACTTTGTAGAGTAACACGTCACGTAAATGTATTTAAATATGGAACACATGGAAGAGTTTGAGAGCTTCTAACGGGAGCTGATTTGGAACTATACAGTCAGTGGAAGAGGCTTTGTGCTCCGTTTGCAGTATGTAAACACAGGGCCTATTCCTTTAACATAAGGATGGAAAGTCTCGTCCCAGTACCACTTCCGGTTCTTTGCTCGGATACAAACAAACGGCCGGCTGTTGGAAGAGGCGGTTTAATGGATTGATGCAAAATGCTCTGCTTTGTTTTCGGCTGTAATCATCAAAGTTTATGCGACACATGCTCATTTTTTAGGTTTCCCAAAGACCAACTGAAGCTGTGGGAAAAGCAGTTCTGATAAAACATTTTGTCTGACTTTACAGACGGATAACTTGAACATGTATTCAAGCTAACTTGTAGCTAATGCTAACCCGTAACCTGTAAACAGTGGCTTGTATTTTATTTATTTGAGAGATAAACGAGGAACAATGCATATAAAATAACATTTAACACATGTTCAAATATAACAGAAAAAGGACAATCATAATATTAGGTTTAAATGAAGAGGTAACCCAACTACATTGTGTTATTTTTGACACACAGCAAAAAGGAAAGCGGCCCAATGTGAAGCTGCAGTGACTGTGAAGAGGAGATGGATCTGATGAACAGATAGAAAACTATGATCGTTCATAAACATTGTCTTAGAACCAAAGCAGCTTATTTCAGTTTATTTTCATGGGAATAGTGTTTGCATAAAAGTGGATTAAAAACAGTGAGATTGAACACGGGCCTGCACCTTTCTCATCTCCCCGTCATAGAAACTCCAGGACATGGCCAGAGTTCACAGCTCGACCGCTCACTCAGTTTTTCTGTCCCAGAGTCGAAATGTGTCCAAAATAACACAGAAAAATCCATAAGGAGGAAGAAGTCGGCGATCTCAGCAGCAATAAATAAATATATGTATCTACATTTACTTATTTAAATAGTGGTGTATCTGTTTTATAGCTGTATAAATAAATTCATCTATAAATAAGTGTGAATATATACTGATATTGATACATATATAAACACATGCATGCATTTTTTTTGCTGAACATTTATTTATATATTTATTGATTGATGTATTTATATATATTACCATTTGGTCCTCCATAATATAGACACTTCTCTAGTTTTAAATGTGTAATGTAGTTTTTTAAGTATCTATCTATCTGCAGGTCATTTATATGCAGCATTTTGTAGTACTAGCCATAACCAGCAGAGGGCAGCAAAGCAGAAATCACATCACAACATTGCGTTTGAAAACATACTTTTGACATTTTTTATTTTAAATAGTGGTATAAAACTAGAATTTAAAATAACTGTATCTTTAAATATGTACAATAAAAGAAAAACAATAATAATAATAAATAAAATGTCAAAGAACAAATAATTTAGTCTATTCACAGTGAGGCAGTTTGAGTTGGAAAGAAGGTTTTTGCTGAAGATCAGGCGTAGTATTCACTGGAAACCAACGGCATCTGGAACCCACTGTCGTACATCTGCGAACAAACAGATTTGTCAATACAGAAAGGTTTAAGAATATATCATTAAAATCAGGAGTATACGTTTACACACCTGGTAGGATGAGTCTGAGGCTGGAGATGAATGAATAACTCCATCTATTCTCACATCCGGGGTTGAGGCGTCACAGAACTCTCTACTGTACAGATCCATCCCAAAACTGCAGTTTCCAGGACGCAGTATCGCCGCCTGGGGGGAGTAGAGGCCCTGGCTGAAGTTTGGGTTCAGTTCCAGTCCCTGATTGTTCTGTGTTCTCATGGGCCTGGGCTGGAAGAAGCTCAGAAGATCCGTGGAAGTCGCGTCGTGGCCTGAATGATCTCCTTGCTCCCTTTTCCGGAACAGCACCTCCTCACTCAGGCCGAGCTGAGCCGACAGGTACGAGATGTAGTGTATAGTGAGGCGAAGGGTCTCGATCTTGGTCAAACTCTGTCCAGCCGGGGCTACTGAAGGCGGTAAAAACGACCGGAGATGGTGTAGTGCTTTGGTCAAATCCCTCATTCGTAGCTTCTCCTTCTCACTCGCACTCTCCCGTTGCTTGGATCGAATACTGGTCCGCCTGGTTCGGCCCACTTTGCGTCCGGGTTTAGATTTCTGCGAGAGTCCGGAGTGAGGGGTGATCGTTGGAGCTTGGGGATGTAGCTTCTGGTAGGACGGGGAGAGGCTGGAGTCCATGGACGACACCGGGGAGAGAGATGGGGAAGAAAGGCTGGATATATCCGAGTCTGTATACCATGGGTACCGCAGGGTGTAGTCCAGGACTGAAGAGGCGTCCATGGTGTGAGAGAGACCAGAGGAGTGTGCTGGTCTCTGAGATCCACTGCGGGTTTATAAGTCCAAGCCAGGCCGCAGAGGTGTGAAGTAGCACCTCTGCAGATTCTCCCAAACCATCAGTTGTCCCAGGGCCTCACACACACACACATACAGACACACACACACACACACACACACACACACACACACACACACACACACACATACTGCTCTCCGCTCTGGGAAAGTTCGACGTGTGAATTTTGACCCCTGATCCGAATCATAAACAGATTTTGCTTTTGGGATTCTGTCTGTTCAGCACTGAAGATGCGTTTTGCAGATGAACACACAAAAGTAGTGTCTGACAGAGAAAAAAAAAACGTTCTTAAGTCTGAACTAAAACGTGGTAAAGTCCTGAAGCGAGGTTTTAGTTGTTCCTGAGGAGGAAGCTTGGTACATTTTCTGCCTGAGATGTTGCTGCAGTGCAATGTTCATGGTTTTACACTGGAACAATAGAAATGAATGAATGAGGCATAGTTAGCATAGTTAGCATGGTTAGCATAGTTAGCATAGTTAGCTCACACGTCCAAAATATTATTTGTTTAGTTATTCATGACGTTTTGGTTTTATGCCTTCATCAAACCATGTTTTTTCTTCTTCTTCTTCTCCTTTTTTGCGTCATTGCTCTTCTACTCCTTCTTCTCCTCCTCCCCTCCTTATCCCTTTTCTTCTTCTCCTGCTCCTACTTCTCCTTCTTCTTCTCCTCCTTCTACTCCTTCTTCTCCTCCTCCCCTCCTTATCCCTTTTCTTCTTCTCCTGCTCCTACTTCTCCTTCTTCTTCTCCTCCTTCTTCTCCTTCTTCTCTTCCTTCTCCTCCTTCCCCTTCTTCTTCTCCTCCTTCTTCTCCTTCTTCTTCTCTTCCTTCTCCTCCTTCCCCTTCTTCTTCTCCTCCTTCTTCTCCTTCTTCTTCTCCTCCTTCTCCTCCTTCCCCTTCTTCTTCTCCTCCTTCTTCTCCTCCTTCTTCTCCTTCTTCTTCTCCTCCTTCTCTTCCTTCTCCTCCTTCCCCTTCTTCTTCTCCTCCTTCTTCCCCTTCTTCTTCTCCTTCTTCTTCTCCTCCTTCTCTTCCTTCTCCTCCTTCCCCTTCTTCTTCTCCTCCTTCTTCCCCTTCTTCTTCTCCTTCTTCTTCTCCTCCTTCTCTTCCTTCTCCTCCTTCTCCTTCTTCTTCTCTTCCTTCTCCTCCTTCTCCTTCTTCTTCTCCCTCATCTTCTCCTCCTCCTCCTCCTCCTTCTCCTTCTTCTTCTCCCTCATCTTCTCCTTCTCCTCCTCCTCCTCCTCCTTCTCCTTCTCCCTCTCCTCCTCCTTCTCCTTCTCCTCCTCCTCCTTCTCCCTCTCCTCCTCCTCCTCCTCCTTCTCCTTCTCCTCCTCCCCCTCTTCCTCCTCCTCCTCCTCCTCCTGCAGCACCACCTTGAACATGTGTCATACAGTATATCATATGTTCGGATCCCGGGCGGTCACATTTGTCTGTTTTGCTCTAAATCATTAATGACTCAAATCTAGATTAAAACAAACTCTTAATGGACCATGAAGCGGACCATGAGTGCAGAGGTGCAATAGTTTCACACTAATGAGGCTGAAGGTGTCACTTCACACGTCCGCTGTGAGAACCAGGACCAGGACCAGGACCAGGACCAGGACCAGGACCAGACCCGCTCCTCAGTCCTGGTCCCGCAGTCTGCTGTTTCAGTGCGATTCCCACGTTTCATTTACCACACATTATAATAAATATGTACTTTAATACACCGCAGCATGAAGTCATTAATAAATATATGTAATTATGATAAAAACATACATTCATTAGGGACTAGTGCCACCCCCCCTCACCCCCCAGGACCCAAAAATGGAGAAAAAAGGGATAAAAATGAAATGAAATGGATAAAAACATACATTA